GCCACCTTAGGTGTATGTGGCTGGCGCCTTAGCCACTTGAGCCACAGGCGCCGAGCCTATTTCTTGAATTCTTGAAGCAGATGTATTCAAATACCATGTGAAGCAGCTGGGGCTCTGCGTGGGTGGGGCCGCCCCCACCGCCTGGCCCAGCGTGGGGCACATCTATCCAGACATCAACTCAAACTGTGTTTTGAAGCAGCTATAACAGTCACGAAAGAGCTATGATTTTCAGGAACAGATTCCCCTCCCAAGGGGAGTGCCTGGGTGTGGGTGGGGTCGGTGAGGGAGGTGCTCACCTGGCCTTGGTCCTCTACTTCCTCATGTCCCACATCCCAGCTTCAGTTATTATAACATCCTCCTCTGCTCTCATCCCCTCCAAGCCAGTCCTCCACTCCCTGTGAAGAGAGACCTTTCTAGAATCTGTCGGTCTGTGTGCACCTCCAGGCAGAGGTCAAATCTGCCTTTTCCCTGCGTCTCTAGTCCCAGCAATGCCTGGGAGAAGTTGGTGCCCAGAGTGTCGGTGGCTGAGAAGGTCGTGATGGTCATGGTGGTTGGTTCCTAGCAGCCACGGCTGCCCAGTCAAGGAGTCTCATTCCCATGGCCACTGATGGAGAACTGTGAGCTTGTGACCCACTTCTGGCCAATGAGAACTAAGGGGCTGGATGGAAAGGAAGGTGGAAGGACTTTGGAAAAGATGAGGCGCAAGGACACAGGCGTCACTTTCCTTCCTCTCTTCCTGTCTGGAGTTGTAGATGAGGGCTGCCGTAGCTCCTGGGCCTCCAGCCCGTGGAGGAAGACAGTAAATTGAGGAGAAGCTCAGAGAAGCCGAGCTGGAGCCCTCACATACCTCGCTAGAAGCCGCACTGCCTGCAGACCCCTCGAGTGGGGGCTGTGTGTGCCCTGCCCCTCGTATTAACAGAGGGTTTGTAGTCTGCATCCAGAACTAGCAGGATCACCCCACTTGATAGGATGTCAGACCCTCAGGTCTACATTCCTTGCAGCCCAAAGCATCCTCTGTGAGTGCAAATAATCCAGTGACTACGGGAGAACAGCCAGACTTTCATCCCAATAGCACCAGCAGCCTCCTTGGGCTCAGTTTTCTCAGCTAATGATTACATTGAGCAGTTTTGGAGGCAGAACAGGAGAAAGGAAGGACGACGCCCTTTTAAAATATAGGATGTTGGTAAATGACAACCGTGAAAGTTATAAGTATGTGCCTTGTAATCAGACAGACCTGGGCTTATTGGCTGTTACTTGGTGAGGTGCATACACTCTTTAACTGTTAGTTTGCTCATCTGTGAAGTCAGGGTAATGATGGGGTAAGTGAGGTGGGCTGTACAAAAAGCTAATGATGCACCTGGTGCTCAGTAAGGGCTCCAAGGCCAAATTGGCCATCTGGTTGCCCAAACTTGGGAGCTGCGAAAGATAAGAGGGGGATGGAAGGGGAAGAGGAAGGCCTTTCTAGCAGAGAACTTCAGAATCTCTCCGATTGTTCCTCACATTACTTCCTTCCCCAATTGCTCCAGCCCACAATCAGCATGGCCATCTGTCCAGAGCTGCCCTGGCTGGACCAGTGCGATTGGGAAAGGAAGGCCTCATGTGTGGAGGCCTTGAGGTTTGCCTTCAGGAGTGAAAAGGCATGTCAGGAGGGAGGCCGGGCACAGAGCAACAAAGGTGTGAAGGTGGGAGTGGGGAGAGGAAACGGCCTGGCTGGAGCAGAAGTTTGTGGGAGGTGATGGGAAGAACACTGGGAAAGGCAGGGCAGGGAGCCAAGCTGTGGGTAGGAGCCTTCTACTAACAGAGGGTTTCTAGTCTGACTCCAGTACTAGAAGCATCACCCCATCAGATAGATTGAGAAACTGAGCCCAGGAGGCTGTTTTCCTGGAGCTGGTAATGCCATTCAGATGAGAAGTGCAGTCTCAGCATATGACCCTGGAGTTCAAGGTGATCTTACAACACAGCTGTCTTCAGTGGCAAGTAACAGGAAACCTGACTGGGCCTAGCAGTTTAAAGCTGAAGATGTTTATTAGCTTATGTACAAGGATCCTGAAGGTGAGGGGTTTCCAGGAGCAGTCCCATTTCTCTGTGGTTCTCCTAACGTGTTCCCTCTTGGGTGGCTATTTCAGAGGCCTGTGTGTGCCCCTACCCCAAACCCTGGGCATGGGTGATGGGTACCTGGGAGCTTAGCTATGCCTTCTGCTGTGGCTCTCATCTGTCTATCACCCCAGTCAGCTACAAGGCAGACATTAGTGAGGGTGATGATTTGTGGGCCTCTCACTCATGCCTTTCTACCAGCCCACTCTGGGCTCAGGACTCCCTACCAGCATCTTCTGCTTAGTGGGCTGGGCAGGGCCCAGCTCCGCAAGGCTGTGTCTGGGGCTCTTCCCAAGGTGCTACCAGACAGCCCTGTGCACCTGTCCTAGAAAACTGGAAATTCCAGAAATATTTTTGACACTATCTCTTTTCTAAAGACTAGGAGTGGCAGCTATAGAAACTGAGGCTCAGAGTATCAGAGACCTATTAGAGTCCTTTAGCCGCTGAAGAGTAGGGCCCAAACGAAACAAAAACGGGCTCAGCCTGGGTTTCCACACTCCTACCTCCCTCAAGCACAGCTGCGTCTGTCCCCAGCCCATAAGCCCTTTGAGGGCAGGCCACCAAGTAGCCAGGGTTTGATGAGTGATAGATGTCCCAGGCCTGGAGTGGCTCGCTGGTGCAGGGTAGAAAGTCTAGCATCTCTGGGCCTGGCCTGGAAAGGGGCCAGGCTGCTCATGACAGCACCTAGGGCTCTCCATGCCCGCAGCGTCAGTGGGCTTCAAGCTCCTCATATTTAAGGCCTCTGAGAATAAACTGAGCCAGGGCATCAGGAGGATGCAAGCAGAGGCAGGCAGCAGGATGGCAGGTGGCAGGCGGGGCACTCAGGGAAGGCAGCAGCTCCACTTCCTGTGGGCGAGGGCCCTGGTGCCTGCCCCACGAGGCTTGCACAAACCTTCTGCGCAGGCCTCAGGCTGTCTGCCCTCCCGGCCTGAGCTCCTGCCCGCCTCTCCTTCTGGCCACTGTCCCCTACTCAGGGCTGGCATCCTTGCTCCCTGCTCTGGGTCTTAGACTGTGTCCTCTGTCGCTGCAGGGCAGGCTGGCGAGGGGCCGGCGGACACCAGGTCCCGCCCTCCCATCACTGAGCACTGCTCCTTCCTCATTTTGCTGCTGATTCTCGCCCCAAACAAAACAGGTTGAGCCCTTTTCCTCCCCTTGGCGGCTGGTCTCTGGCTTGCTGCTGCCTTCTGAGTGCTGCAGACGGCGTCGGCCAGGGAGGGAGGACCGGGACGCTGCTCCTGGCGCCTGGCCCACGGGCAGGCCCGCGGCCGGAGAGCGAGCAGTGCAGCGGCAGTTGCCTGAGGATGATGCCCCAGCTGCAGTTCAGAGATGCCTTTTGGGTGAGTGCGGATGGCCGGGGGCACTGAGCAAGTGGAATGGCCTAGTGAGGCCCGCACTTCCACGGCAGTTGATGGGATGTGGCTCTGAGGTGGGAGTTTGTTTGCTCTTAAAAATAGTGTTTGACTTTTGGTCTTAACTATTGTGGAGGTGGCCTGGACCCATGCCCTGTCTGAGCTGGTGGGCAAGGGGCACCGTGGGGAGGGGGCTGCTTTCTCCTTTGGAGAAAAGGAGCTTGCCAGGAGTGTCTATGAGGATAGACGCGTGAGTACAACATGTGGGTCACAGATTTGGGGCCCAGACAAAGTTGGGTACAGACCTTGACTGCGTGACTTACAGGCTGAGCAGGTCATTTCATGCCTCTGAGCCTCACTTTCTCCATCTACATAATGGAGATAAAAAAAAAAACTCAGCATACTAACTGAATGGAGGATTGAGCAAGGGCTCTAATGCACTAAGGCCCAGCACCTTGCTGGCATGCCAAATGGTGAGTCTCTTCCCCCAAGCCAACACCTCCTCCCTGTAGACCTTAGGGGTCCTTCAAGGAGGCAGCCAGGCTGGGTACTTCCTTGCTTGCTTTCTTAAATTCAGTGCAGGCATAAATCAAGTCATTTCCCCCATGAAATAAAGGCGCCCAGCCAGTGGTGGAGGAAAAGTGGCTTGGCCCAGGCCACATAGCCTGCAGCCCAGCTTGGGCCTCAGATCCCCTTGGAGTTTTTTCCAGCTGTCCTTCAACCATCCCTCTGGTCCTTAAATTTTAGCTGTCCCCACATCTCTTGGGGGAAAAGCTAAGACGTCTCTATTTAGAGCTGGGGGATATAACTGTCCTCACTCTCTGGCCCTTAGCTCAACCTCAGCCAACAGCCTGGCCCTCCATGGGCCCTGTCCTGGGGCCGCAACCAGGAGGATGAGAGCTAATGAGCCAGGTCTCCCCCTACTTCTGGGCCAGCTCTGCTTGGGGCCTGTGGCCAGTGTGTGAGTGGCCTGCTTCCTCTGCACTGACTGCACAGTGGCAGAGGACCCACCCTGTGCCTCTCTAAGCCTCAGTTTCCCCATGTCTACAAAGAGAGAGCAGGGCCAGCCCGGAGAAGCCAGTGGTGGTAGAGCTGGCATGGCCCATCTAAGCAGTAGGCACCAGGGTACTCATAGCTCAGGCTGGCAGCTGGAACTCTGGGAGTAAACCTGGGGGGCATGAGTCACAAGATCACTGCCCTGACTTGGAGTACAAAGTTGGGGAAGGGGTAGAGGCTGGAAATCCAGGCTACTTTGTGACCCAGGGCAGGCCAGGACCTTGTACCTAGCCCAGAGCTCCCAGGCCCACCTTCCCTAGAGTGGAACTGAGGCAGGGAGCAGGATCTGTGTGGGGGAATGGAATATGAGGGAGCAGGGTGTGGTAGCAGTAGCAGAAGCAAGCTACCAGCCCACCTGTGGGACCCTTCTGAGTGGCATCCCCCCAAGCTTGGCACTGCCATGCCCTGAGCTGCTGTGACCTCCATATACCTACTCTCCTCCATGCCTGCTTCCTTGGGCCTAGGGTGAGGATACCGCTTTCCTAGGGAAAGCCAGAGCAGGAAAGGCAGAGAGGTGGCCAGTGGGAGCCTCTTACCTGAGCCTGGCCAGACCTACTCCCTAGAAGATCAGTGCAAGCATCACTGCCTGGGGGCTCTGGATGAGAATGCTGCTCCCTTGCGCCCTGCCCAGTGCACAGTAGGATGCCACAGAAGGCATGAGGGCTATTCTCAGGCTGTGTACACGTTCACTGCTTTAATCCTCATGACACATGCTATTGTTGTCCCTGTTTTTCAGCTGAAGGAACTGAAGCACAGAGAGCTTAAGGGACTTGCCTGGGGTCACACAGCTGGGATAAAGCCTGGAAAGTCTGGCTCCAGCGCTTGTGTGGCCTGTTGTGTGTCACTACCCCACTATGTTCCTAGCAGAGCTGCATCTTTGGGCTTCGGGGTCCACATAGGGAAGATAGAGGAAAAAAAATCTTCCCTCTTACTTCCCAGAGGGGTAAGAAGATTGGACGAGGAGGACAGAACAGTATTTTGAAGCTCACATTCAATGTCTGTAAAACAGAAAAGGGACATTCCTCAGGCTGCAGAGGGTATGTTAAGAACAGCCCAGCCGGCTTGGCCTCTCATCTTGGTTCCCCCTAACCCTAGCCCAAGGCACTGCTGTTAAACCCCGAAGCCTGGCAGCATGCTGGTTAGAAATGACTGGTCTTGCCAGGGGTGGTGGCTCCCAACTGTAATCCCAGCACTCTGGGAGGCCAAGGCAGGTGAATCCCTTGAGCTTAGCAGTTTGAGATCAGCCTGAACAAGAGTGAGACACCTATTTCTAATAAAAACAGAAAAACTAGTCAGACATGGTGGCAGGTCCCTGTAGGCCTGGCTACTTGGGGGACTGAGGCAAAAGGATCACTTGAGCCTAGGAGTTTGAGGTTGTTGTGAGCTATGATGCCACAGCACTCTACCCAGGGCAACAAAGTGAAATGCCACCTCAAAAAAAAAAAAAAAAGAAGAGAAAAAGAAATAGAAATGACTGGTCTTTAGATAGTGGAAAGAAATCTCTGTACTAGAAAGGTATGTTTACTATCAGAGCCCTTTTTTACCTGGCAACCCCACCCATCCAGAACACGGGTGGGAGCCAGCCCTGTTTCTGGCATAAGCTCAAGGAGGGAGGAAAAGTGTTTTCTGGGAAGCCACTGATGATGCCCCTAATGGATTTCAGCAATGCTTATATGCTTTACTCATGGGAGATGCCCCATAGCTTTAGTCAGGGCCTGTGAACTCTAATTTTACCCACAATGTTAACAGCCTTAGTCATGTGGTCATTTAATTTATAGAAACAGCAATTACTAGGGACTACACAAGACCTGATATGCAGTTGGTAATGGATAAATATTAGTGGATCTGGACTGTCAGAGGCAGTTTGACAGACAGTTAGTAGCCTGGTAGCAAGGAAGGAAACAGACATTAAAAGTCGGTGTGATAGCACAGAAAGCAGTGGGGACATTCAGCTTGGGAGCAGTCCTATCCCTCAGCAGGCCTGTGTTTGCAGTTCTGTCAGTGTGGCCACACGGGGTTTATTGACAGCCTGCTTTTAGCTCAGGCAGAGCCCTCAGATGCAGGCTGAGAATGTAAGGCAGGGGTGGACTAGCTGCAGTGGAGGAAAGGGATAATTTGATTTCTGTGATACACGCATGATAGAGAGCATCACCCCTTTGCAGGAAGTCTGTGGCTAAGCCTAAAACTGAGACGAGGTTGAGGCTGAGAATAGCAGCTGTCCAGGCCAAGAGGCCTTAGGTCTCATGCTACCTGACCCAGCACTGAGTCTAGGGGACCTGGAAGCCCAGAGAAGGGAAGCCCCCCCACCACCACCACCACCCACTTGCCAGTGGCTCTGCCCCCAGAGAGCAGCCAAACCGTATTGCAAGAGACATCTGTCTGCATCCCCAAGACAGGGCTGGTGAATCGGGTACATACTAAGTAAATATTTATAGAATAAATGAATGGACAGGGAAAGTCCCCATGTCCACCTCCCTTCCTGAAGTTTTCATACTTCATTTCACTTTAGTTGAATTCTACAAGTGTTTCCTAGGCAGGGTTCCCTACTGGCTGGTCCAAGCTGGACCCCTGAGCTTCACCCCACATCTAATCAGGTGAACGAGACTGTCTTGACCTGAAGGAAGCCACAGTTCAGTACTGGAGCTGGAGGGGTAACTGGGCCAGGCGAGGGGTGCCTGTGAGGGACGATGTCTGAGTCGTGCTGTACCCTCACCCCTGTGCCCTATATATCCAGTGGCCTTTGAAAAGATATCTCTGGATATTGTTTTAACAGGGAAAATCTAGTTCTGGACCAGGTTTTATTCACATCCCTATCCCCGCTCTTTTGAGGTAGTTAAAAGGAAAAGTCAGGGCCCGGTTGCAGCTGGGCCATATACACTGCAGTGACCTCCTCCCACCATCTGGGTGGGAGCCACCAAGGTGATGTGGGGAGAATAGGCCTGAGCTTTCCCTCTGACATGTGGTCATCTCTCTCCTCTGAGGCTGGGCTCTGGCTTCACCGGAAAGGGAAGGTGGGCCTCTCCTTGTGCAAGGTGGGCCTCTCCAAAGCCATTTAACAGGTGACGGCACCACTGCTAGGCGGAGACAGTGACTTACCATGTCCACACAGTGGGCCTGAAGCTGGCCCCTTCCCCTTTCCCATGTGTCCACTCAGCTGCTGGTGCCTCTTCCCCTTCCCAGTTCCGAGACACTGAGGTTCCCCATTTAGGAGGCTATAAGGAAGGGGGCCGAGGAGACCACTATGGCTGTCCTGAAGCTGCCTGTCTTCCACCCAACCCCAGGACCCATCTATCATGGCCCTGGGCCATCAGGAGAGGTGACATTTTCTGGGCACTGGTTCTGCCCTGGGCTTTAAAGCTATGTATGTACCTTCTAATGAAACAAAATCAGTTAACGTAGGGTCCAAAAAGACAAGTGGGAAAATGGAGAGAAACAGGGGGAAAGAGCACATTTACTCTCATCACAAAACTGCTAATATTTTGCTGTTTCTATAAGATGGGCTTACAGGTGCAAGCATATTGAATACACATTTTTGTAACCTACCCTTTTTTCTAGGATTTAAATTTTTATATTTAAGTCTGGGTGTGGTGGCTTACCTCTATAATCCTAGCACTCTGGGAGGCCGAGGCGAGTAGATTGCTTGAGATCACTAGTTCAAGACCTGCCCTGAGCAAGAGGGAGACCCCCAACTCCACTAAAGTGGAAAAAAAACTGAGGCAAGAGGATCACTTGAGCCTGAGTTTGAGGTTGCTGTGAGCTATGATGCCATAGCACTCTACCAAGGGCGACAAAATGAGACTGTGTCTCAAATAAATAAATAAAATGAAAGTTTATATTTAATTGTGGTAAAATAATACACATGACATAAAATTTACCCTCTTCGCCATTTTTTAAGTGTATGGATCAGTAGTGTTAAGGATGCTCTCACTGTT